CGGGGCGGAGACCGATGAGTATGAATGTGTTTGTAAGGAAGCAATGACGGGGAATTAATAGAAGAAGACAGTTTACATAACTGCTTCAGTACTACTGAAGCTGGAGAAGAGACATGAGTGCAAGTCACCCAATAAACCAAATAAGTAACTCCCCACGTCAGCTAACAATGATTTTAAATTATTTTAACATTCCAAGAGCAAACGTACAGCCAACCAACAAGTGTATTCTCAGCCATTTTCTTTGCTATGATCACAAATACCAGTTTTACAGGCACAAACTAAGTTGCGTCTTGCTGAATCATTACACAAAGACATCTGTACAAATAATCTGTCTATGGAATATGTCAACTGCACACCTACCAGGCATAAACTCACAATTCACAAACCCAACAATTCACACAATACATAGTAAAGGTGTGCCAACAACAACCCCATTCAATTTTGAGTCTTTTAGCAAACATTCAATGCATTATGCATTATTAATTTCTCACTGAGCCCACTATTAGTTCAGTTTGATTTTATTATATTCAATTAAGCATTTAAACTGATTCAGTCAACAATTATATGGAATTTACACCAAGGCAGCAGTTTACAGTTTGTAAATGTATTTACAAGGCTAAACTTTAGCTTCAAACGCAATCTCGTCATTGATACAGACTTTCATTCTGCAGATTGGAGGGCTTGCATATATTTCTTAGCTGTGTCAATAGTAGTTAGGTGGACCTTCAATAAAAAACGGAATTTAGTTTAATTTGATTTTTGACACCTCTAATAAATCGAGCAGACCTTACACAGCACATGGCTTCAACCGCATCACTCCTTCCTAGAATAAAAGGAGAGATCCAAAACACCTAGACCAAATCCTAACAATGTCCACAGAGCTTGACATCAAGAAATATTAGAGGCTTAATCTGCCAGAAAACAAAGAGCTAAGAATTCTCCTAAATCTTCTAATGCACACTTACCACAAAAAGCACACTTGATAATGCCAGATTTCCACATTGTAAATGTCATCCATCCAAAACTTGAGAGGCTTTAAAAGGCTTTAGCTCTGGCAAACCTCTATCACAACATGTAGTAGTTGTCAATGACATATCCTAACAGGGCTGTTTTTCTCCTCTCTTCATGGCCTCAAGATTCTCTCAAATTGTTTCAACTCAATAAATGGCATTAGCTGTAGCACCTGCTGTGCCTTGTCCTGGATACAACAGCTAGAACGTTGCACCGTGTTAGTAACGCCACCTTGACTTCTGCCCATGCCAACATGCCTTGAAGTACAAAAGGCATCCTTCGTATCTGAAACACAAATACAGTCCTTGTGTGCCAGTCAGTTTCAAATGTCAGCTGAACCCCCCAAATATCAAGGGTACTTTTTCCCTCTCATCCTATGTGGCTTGGGGCTAAGGTATAGCCCAACATTCTTTATACCCCTAACAACACTGACTCTTGGTTAGATAAGATAAGCTGAGGCGTAATGGAATTAGACTTGACAAGACTCTCATTCTGTGTGTTTGCCTTTGGTGTCTCCTTAACCTTTCCGAGAAGTGCCGGAACCTTCTGCCTGAGAGGAGCCTTCATGACTCTTGCACGCACTTTAGAGACTACGTTATCCCCCCTGAGGTGCTTGGATCCGAACACTTTTTCCTCTCAAATACCTTTTTAATGGAGTTTAGAAGTTTGGTGTAAATGCCAAGTCTCCGAGCCAAAGTGCCTTTAATTGAGTTGTGCTTTCCTAATTTTCCCCGCTGCCGTTGCCAACCGTGCAATTTACCAGCTGGGTCAATTACTCTTCATATTTCGCAGTGTTGTTAACCTAAATTGACTGCTGGCCAGGCTTTTGTTTGACCTGAGCAGAATTGTTATGATGACAGTAGGTGGCTTGTGGGGTTCAATAAACAACTCACTATCACTCTAGCTAACCTCATGCTAGACAATCATGAATCTGTTCGTGACCCACCAGGTCTCACTTTGCATGAAGGAACTTAGAGATATTCTACAGTTAACATTAAACATTCAAGGAGGGTTACAAAAAACACACAGTGGTGAAAGCATACGGTGTAGTTAGCTGTAGTCTTCTCATATCAAAATTCATCTTTGGATGATAAGATGATTTAGATGGTTTGGGCCATGGCTCCAACCATGAAATTGATTCTGTACACAACAGCGGATAATGTAGAAGCATTTGCAAAAGACAACTGCAGCAGGCATCACATCATTTAAATGAATCTGCTCTATTTTTCTGTCTTTTGTAACAAATTGAAGGGTGTTAGCCAAACATCACATGGCTTTACCTAAGACAACACTGCCCCCTGCAGACTTTCTTAAGAAAGAGCACAGAGCAAAGGAACCATAGAGACAGCAATAAATAATTTGAGTAACTTTAAGTACAGTTTACATGGAAAGCTGGGCAAAAAGGTTTTCTTCTAACCAAATAATACAGTGGATGATTTTACTGATTAGTGCCCCCTTTAAGGTAAATTTAAACTTGGGGTTTATGTTCCATGTCATACCTTTTTGCACCAATTTTTATTAAATATTTGAAACTGCATCACCATACTCTACTGTTGCACTATAAGTACAATTTCAAAGCAGGGTGCTAAGTGCATCTTATTGAGGAATTTTAGCATCCCTTATAAAAACCTCTTGGTAACAGTTACCAACTGATAAAACCATCAAGGGACCTCAAAAGTGCACCACATCTTGCAGTAGCGTAGTGTTCCAGTGCCAAACTTTTTTGATTGTGGGCCATATACAGAAAGTTATTAGAAGTCACAGGCCAAATTGCGTCTTTTCAGTTTCGCCATGTTTAATCAACAAAGGTAAATGTTTTCAGACTAGTAATCCATCATTGTAGGTCAAGTATTTGTTAAAACTGGCAACACCTCTAAGATGACAGCGACATCTAGTGTTTAAACTAGGACATGCAATGTAAATACAGTGCAATTTTAGAAATAAGCTCAAGCCATATTCTAGTTTATTTTGCTATTTTGCATGCTGTTGTTTGGTCCCTGCTGTTTAATACTATTAAACATAGCCAATACTACTCAAAGCAACTAATGAAGAGCACCAGGGATTTAAACCACTGTGGGGCAAGTGTATTTATTCACCGCTCTACTATGACCCAGTAATGCTATTTGCCACAGCACATTAAATACCCTACTGTTTCATTAAAAAAACAAATACTGCAAATGACCTCATAAGACAGTCTAACTCACTGCTATGTTTTTGTTTGTTCATTTATTTTGAAAGGATACTCTCTCTTTCCTGTGCTATGACCAGGTTCTGTTCCTCCAGCTGCTGGATCTTGCACTCAAAATTTTCCTGTTCATCTTTGAGGCGTTGCACTGACTCCTCTTTCTCCTCATTCACTCTGGAGAACAGGGAATAACAGCGTTACAAAGGATAGGTGGTCTACATTATGTTTTCCAAGAGGGATAAAAGTTTCATATGAACTTTAACACTGACATACAGATCAGTGGCATATACTGCTGGCTACCTGGCTAGTTCTTCGATGAGGTTTGCAATCCGGCGCTTATCTTCAGGACAGAGATCCTTCAAACAGACCTGGCTCTTAGCTCTGCTAGTCTCAGAGATTACCTGTGCAAAGAATGTTTAGCAAGTATCAGAAGATATTAACAGAAGCTAATAACAAAATAGCTTGTTTTTGGATTATCCATATTCAATAATTTCATTTTATATCCATGGAGGAAAGAGAAAAATAGCCCACATAAAACAATGGTTTACCTGTATTGCGGGGTGAAAAGTATCAGACGGTGGAGAGAGGGTGTGCTCTGTAGCACTGTGATGGACTGACACTTTTTCCTTGGTATAAATCCCAGAGCACTCACTTCGTAAGTGGCGGTGTTTCTTGCCACCTTTCTTTAGTGTGGTCTCATTGCAGTCAGAGCTACTTCTAGCTCGCACCTTGGTACCTCTTTTACTGGATGTACTGGTGCTGCCTGGTGCCAAATTAAAAGGAGTCTGAGTCGTCACATCACCTTCCACCCCTGAGACAGTTTGTGGGAAGACAAAATAAGATGATGCCATGTGCACATGAGTTAAGTTACATACAATCGCTCCCACTGTGTTCAGAAATTGTCCAAATAATGTAAGTGAGACTCACCGGGAACAAACACCAAGGGCTGTTCCTCATCTGACACTATGTGAAAAAAAGGCAAAGAGAAGACAGAGACTTAATTACCTTTCAGTCAAACTAGCTATCTAACGCTAACGGTTAAAACAATAACGTTACTTCACTCTCTTCCTATTCTTGGGCAACAAACTCTTGCAGTCACGTAAGTTAGCTCGGTATTTACTGCAGGTGGCCTAAGTTATGTATTAGTTACGTTGAGCTCAGTTAGTTAGCATTAGGAAACCTAACATGGTTGACTGATAGTGACAGCAAGCATTAATCATTTTACCACCGAGTTTCAATATAAAATAGATACATTCACGTTACTTAAAATAGTTTATGTTAACGTTAAATTAACAATACGTGAGCTAGCTGACTAACTTAATGCTGAACTTAGCTCTCACTTCCTCAGAAACACTAACTTTGCAGCATTAACACATAAGTAACATCTGTGAGACTCTTTCGAAAAAGTTTGTAACTTATTTTAAGACATGTATGAATGGGTAATGGGCAAGGAATATAATGTAGTTTAACAAAAGTAAGCATACCGCCATTCATCCAAAATATCCCACAGTGTCCACTTCTTTTTGCTGCTGCCGCCGCCATGTTGAAACAACCGCCACCACCATAGAGCCAAGCGTTGCTAGGTAATTGCGGTCCCGCCTTTCTTTTACAACTGAGTCGCCAATTGGCTAGTCTGGGAGAGGGAGGCTTTCTATTGGCTTAAATATGTGTCAATTGTGCGCTAAAGCTGTACTTGCCGTTTCCTGTGTGTGTTGCCAATCTGAGAGAGGTGATCTATACAGGAGAGATAGCTGCAGAGGATGCTCCCTGGGTTTTGTACAAACTTGTGATTGCGACCTTCCAAATGGAAGAGACAAAAGAAAGCTTGGCATTTAAAGGTGTTGCTGAGAGACTGACGCTTGGTATTACTCGAATACTCGGTGTGTATCATGTTTTTTTTGCACTGAAACTAGCAACTAACGTCAACGTTCAGGTTAGCTAGCAAACATATTGATGTCCTACTGGGCAGTTAATGCAGTCTATGAATTTGTCCCTGTTGTCCTAGAGAACATGCCTGGTGTGGTCGATGTGCGTTTTGCAGAGAGGGAGCCTGCAGAGAAGAGGAGCCTGCTCTCATGGGAACAGGTGAAAGATGGACACCTTAAATACATCAAGATTGGTCTGGTTGTACATTGTTGTCATATGACCCTGCTGTATTTCTTCATTAGAAAAACGCGTGTATTTTGCCAGAGGACCTGCGAGATTTCTATCTGACAACTGATGGATTTACACTAACCTGGAGCGTTAAACTAGACAGTAGGTGACCTCATTAGTTTCATGTTCTGTCTGTAATTAAACTATTCTCACAAAAGTCTTAATTTGTTCAAAATTGGGTGGTGATGGCGCAGTAGATAAGATGCATGCCTTTGGTGTGGGAGACTGGGGTTCAACTCCCCACCAATGTGTCCCTGAGCAAGACACTTAACCCCTAGTTGCTCCAGAGGCGTGCGACCTCTGACATGTATAGCAGTTGTAAGTAAATGAATACATATAAATTAAAGGCTGCTATTTAGATTATATGATACAGGTAAATGCAAACGGCTCTATTTTTTTTTTTTTTTTTTTTTTTTGTGTGTGTCTTTCAGATGAGTGTGTTCCCTTAGGATGCATGATGATTAACAGTGTGGCCAGGCTGTGCCCACTCCTCCAACCATTATCATTATTCTCTCTACCCAATGCACCCTCACTTGCAGACCTGGACTGGGAGGAGAGCAACACAGAAAGTGGTAAACCTCTCCTGTCAGATCCTCATGTGGGCTTATCTCAACAATTACAGCATGTCAAGTTTGATTAAGTCTGTTTACATGCTTAGAAAGCAGGCTAATGAATGAAATGTTGATTGGAAAGTAAATATTTATACAAGATTGATTAACGCTATCTGCCAGGAACGGGTCATGCTCCTGCTGCACCCCATTTTGATTCCCGAAGCCGCTTCTTCGAACTGGATTCCTGTGGTGGGAATGGAAAAGTGTGCCTAGTCTACAAAAACTGCACTCCAGGTGTTCTGTTGGTATTCACAAATTAGCCTTTTCATAATTTCTATAAACAGCAATGTTAAACTAAAAAAAGTTAGTGTTGGTCTTTATACTTTCCAGGTGTCGTGGCCCAGCAGAGTGAAGTCTGGTTCCTTGACCGCTCGCTGTGCTGGCATTTTATGACAACTACCTTTACCTCCTACTACCGATTGATGATCACCCACTTGGGTCTGCCTGAGTGGCAGTATGCCTTCACCCCATATGGCCCCAGCCCCCAGGCCAAGGTGTGTGGGGGGGGTTTTCTTCAGTTTTTCAGAATGTACCAGACAGTGTCGAGTTAAAATTTATTAATTTGTGTTGTAGACTTTGTAATATTATTAACAACACTTAAAGGCACTTAGGTTACTTTTTTCATTCTGTTCCCTTTACAATATACTACAGTGTTGATGCTGAATGTAACACTTTAACAAGAAGACACAACACTCGAGTTTTTAGACGCTTACACAAAGCATGAAACTGGTTGTATTTTATTTTTTTTATTTAACGTCTGAAACAGGATATTTGCAGACTAGTCCTTTTAGTCCTTGCCCACTTTTTTTTTTTTTTTTTTTTACTTTACACATTGAGTGCCAGATGTTCCTGGGAATTCAGATTACAGAAAGAAAGAAAGTAGTAGGATTTTTGCAATTTCTCTACCTCCTGTTCTCTCTACAGCAGTGGGCATCGCTCTACCAGCCACTGATTTTCAACAATGAGCTCTGCTCAGCTGATCCTGCTGGAGATTCCTCTCTCAACAAGCTGGATCCTACAAGGGCCTTCAAAGGCAAAGCCAAGGTACCCGTCCCCAAAAAGAAGCAGTCGACACAGTGCAGCTTAGGGAACACTGCCAAGATCCATGGCAATACAGGAAAAAACACTGGGCCAAAGCGATGAACGTTCCCGTCCAAGGAAAAATATTTCAACCAACTTCACTGTCTACAACCAACATGACTTAGAGGAGAAGTCTGCAATCCTGTGAGAACCAAATCCAAATCTAAGTTTGGTATCCTGCATGTCTAAATAGATGCATAACAGGGTTTTACTTGGCCCAACACAAGACTAAAGTGGTTCCAGCTGGTGGAAGCAATGTGCCCCCCCCAACCACCCACCCACCGCATTAGGCTTTCCAGCTAATTGCATCACCAATAGCTTTATTATTCCAGGACTCATTTAACAGTGTTCACTAGTGAAACAAAGTGGTAAAATTAATTTAAAGCAGCCAATTCATAAAATGTGATCATGTGCTTTTGACATAGCACAGATAATACTGACATGTAGTAATAAATTGTACCACTGCTGTGACCAGTAAGGCTTGTTAACACTGTATATATTTATAACTGTAGTTATTGTCTCTAGGCCTGATTTGCCACTGTACAAATAACTCCATAAAATTGAAGGAAACAGAAAGAATAAACATAATACTGTGTAGGTTTCAGTAAAAGTGCTCGTATGACGGAAGACTGATAACATGATTCTGCTGAAAAAAATCCATCACATTACTCAATGAAAATGTTTGAGCCGCAATAATGAGTATCCATTATCAGGGAAAATAAGTCCTTCCCAAAGAATATGGAGTCAAATAGATCTGATGAATCATTCTTTATGAACTATCTGATAGCCATCACCCACTGGAATTACATATCATCAACCTAGGATTTTTTTCTTTTCCAAGGAATGATTCAAAACATCATACTCACGTTTTTAAGTCGATTGGCGCGTCCAGCTGGTCACTACCCGGTCCAAAGTCAGGCGGGTTCCTCTCTCGTTTTGCGAGGCGGACTTCCCTGCCGGTAAATGTTGCCTGTGGTTTGGACTCGGGCATGATCAGTGGAGCATCCAATCCCATTCTCGTCTCCAAAAATGACATTTTTCCTTCCCAAAAAATACGGAGTCAACTAGATGTGATGAATCATTCTTTATGTAATATGGCCACGGAGAGGAAGCACGGTTTCTCTCCCGAACTCAGCATTTCCTCTTCTTAAATACAAACAAGTCCAAAACCCAACAGCCAACATTAACTGCCAAGACAAAAGGTAGACAAGGGAAACAAATGGCAGATCACATCTAGAGTATTGGTATACACTCAAAGGCTCTTCTTGGGCTGACAAAAGAATGCAAATGTATGTGGCATCAGAGATGTCTCTCTATCTCTTGATTGGTCTATGTTAAAACGCTCACCTACATGTCAGCAGATGTTTATTATAAGTCAGAAAAACCCTTTGATTAGTACTCACTGTTTAGCCAAAAAACCCTGTGGCCAGTGCTTATTTCTCAAAGTGAGTTGCAGTGAATCCCAAAATCAGCAACCTATAATTTATTTTTTCACACCATGGAAACTGCTGTACGTACTCAACAGCCACCTCAGAGCTTGGGAAGCAAACGTTACCACACTTAAGAGTGCATGCAAATCTGATGCATGAAATGTTACATGTTACATTATCAAAGACTGGCATTAAACCAACAAGCTAGGCTTCAGTAATCTAAGGCAGTGGTTCTCAATCTTTATCACATCAAGGACCCTAAACTGACACAAATTAGACCACGGACCACCATTTGATAAGATTTTGTCCCAGGGTCCCCCATCTGAAAGGATTTTTGCTTTTAGATGATTATTACAGAAAGTTTATGAAATCCATGACCGAAATAGTCATACATTCTGTCACTGTGTTACTTATGGATGGAATTAAAACAAAAATAAATAATTCCCCTTTTTGCTGGTGACCCCCTGTAACCCACTCAAGAACCCCTGGGGGTCCCCAGACCCACTTTGAGAAGCACTGATCTAAGTTACTCGCTGGCTATCGCATCACTGCTGTGCCTCACTGACGCTGTGTTTCTCTGCAAACTTCACGAGCATAAACATTTTCAAACCTAGTGATTTTTATATTATCACCTGATATCTGTTCTGGTGATTCCATATCAATGAACGGACGCGAGGAGGTTGCCAGTATTTTGCAGAGACAATATCCATTTAAAATATCCATATAGGGCTCTTAATACTGCTGAGCAGACTTAGTAAACATTTATGATTAAGTATTTGGTTTAAGTACTTTGGTTATCAAGACACATTTATATTATACATTTTAGCTTTAGGCTGCTGTGCACTGGATTGTTGGGGAGATGAACATTTGGTTGTGCTTCTGCCCCTTCAAGCTTTAAGGAGCCATCTTCCTATTTTATTTCTTAGAGTTTATAGATAATATTATTGAGAGATATGTATGTATGTATGCATGTATGCATGCATAGGAACAATAAGTCAGATGCCAGCATCACCTTTCAAAATATCTAATAATGTATATTTTATATGTGTTGCCGTCAATCACAAGGACAGAAACTCTAGGTCTATTTTTTTAAACCCTTCATCATGGAATGTTTCAACTATAGATATCCACATAGCTTTACAAGGGATACACTGTACATAGTTGGGGGTCTCAGACACATACATTAGCACAGATGTTGTCCTGTTTCCCCAGAGGGGTAGTCGTCTCCTCCACCAACTCCTCTCCCTGTTCAGAGAAGAGAGAGTGGTGCATTTCCACCAAGGCTTTGTAGAGACCCGCACCCAATAGTCCTCCAATGGGAGGGGCAACTAGGGGCACCCACCACCACCCATTTCCAGACCTGCACAGATAAAGACAGATAACTGTGAGCTGCTAAAAAAGTAGAGGGGTAGATGGAAAAAACACTTTTGCATAAATGTTTAAATTGGCATTCTTCCATTTGCAATATGATAAACAACTAGTAATACCCTCTTAAAATGTGTGGAAGAACTACACAGGTCATTTAGTAATTAACAGATGTTTTGCCTTTGACTGACCCTAGTTAAGGTGACATGTAGCAACAGCAAATCCTCCCCTAAAAGCCAATACATCGTTGCTGTGTACCTGAACACATCAACCCCCCAGCCTGCTATGGCAGTGAAGACCCTGGGTGCGATGTCTCTGGTGGGGTTGATAGCATAGCCGCTGTTGCTGCCTAGAGAAATGCCAATGAGCAGCACCAGGAGACCCACTGCGACAGGCTCGCTGCCCGCTGCGGCCGGTTTGTTCTTCTGGTCGGACAGAGCCATCAGGCACAGCAGCAGCATAGCTGTGCCGATCACCTGGCCCACACAAACACAGCACAAACATCACATGGAAACAATTGTCAAGATAGCTCTGCGTAAAACTACACAACAGAGAAAATGGTCAATGCAGAATGTGTCAGTTGGTGGTGATTTGTACAACCCCAATTCCAATGAAGTTGGGACATTCTGTAAAACGTAAATACAAACGATATAATGATTTGCAAATCCTTTTCAACCTATGTTCAATTGAATACACCACAAAGACAAGATATTTAATGTTCAAACTGATAAACTTTATTGTTTTTAGCAAATATTCACTGACTTTGAATTTGATGCCTGCAACACGTTCCAAAAAAGCTGGGACAGGGGCATGTTTACCACTGTGTTGCATCACCTTTCCTTTTAACAACACTCAATAAGCGTTTGGGAACTGAGGACACTCATTGGTGCAGCTTCTTTCCCATTCTTGCTTGATGTACAACTTCCGTTGGTCAACAGTCCGGGGTCTCCGTTGTCGTATTTTCGCTTCATAATGCGCCACACATTTTCAATGGGAGACAGGTCTGGACTGCAGGCAGGCCAGTCTAGTATCCACACTCATTTAATATGAAGCCATGCTGTTGTAACACATGCAGAATGTGGCTTGGCATTGTCTTGCTGAAATAAACAGGGACGTCCCTGAAAAAGACGTTGCTTGGATGGCAGCATATGTTGCTCCAAAACCTGTATGTACCTTTCAGCATTAATGGTGTCTTCACAGATGTGCAAGTTAACCATGTCATGGGCACTAACACACCCCCATACCATCACAGATGCTGGCTTTTGAACTTTGCGCTGACAACAATCCGGATGGTCCTTTTCCTCTTTGGCCCAGAAGACACAACGTCCATAATTTACAAAAACAATTTGAAATGTGGACTCGTCAGACCACAGCACACTTTTCCACTTTGCTTCAGTCCATCTCAGATGAGCTCGGGCCCAGAGAAGCCGGCAGTGTTTCTGGGTGTTGTTGATATATGGCTTTCGCTTTGCATGGTAGGGTTTTAACTTGCACTTGTTGATGTAGTGACAAACTGTGTTAACTGACAATGGTTTTCTGAAGTGTTCCTGAGCCCATGTGGTAATATCCTGAACACATTGATGTCAGTTTTTAATGCAGTGCTGAGGGATCGAAGGTCACAGGCATTCAATGTTGGTCCTTGCAGCTTTCCCAGTCTTTTGTTGCCCTTGTCCCAGCTTTTTTGGAACATGTTGCGGGCATCATATTCAAAGTGAGTCAATATTTGCAAAAAACAATAAAGTTTATCAGTTTGAAAATTAAATATCTTGTCTTTGTAGTGTATTAAATTGAATATAGGTTGAAAAGGATTTGCAAATGAATGTATTCTGGTTTTATTTAGGTTTTATACAACGTCCCAACTTCATTGGAATTGGGGTTGTAGCTGAGATCCTTCAATCCGGCTTCATAGCTACCTGGTCAATGAATCCAGCCAGCAAGGAGAGGTACGGTGCAGGATAGGTGGCAAAGATACCAGCAGTGGCCTTTACACCGGTTACAGTCAGGTTTCCTCCACAAAAGTCATATATGGCTTCTGCATATGGAAACAATATTGACAAGACAGATATTCTTATGTATGACAATAAAAATACAGCAATGATATAAGGGCAAGGAGAAGTAAATGTATACAATTCTATAACAATACAGGTGTTGAGTGTGCCCTCACCATAATAGACAGCATAGATTGTCCCCGCTGCCAGAAATGACCCCAATAGCTGTGCAAAAACATACAGAGGCAGCATCTTCCACGCAAGGCGGCCAAACGCGCACATCGTGAGTGTCACTGCTGCATTCATATGAGCCCCTGATAGAGCATGAGATATATGTCAGATCATTTGCGATGACTGAAGGATTCTTAATGGTAGGGTTTACAAGAGTCAGCTCTTGTACCTGAGACCTTCCCTCCAACATGAACCCCCATAGCAACACTGAGTCCAAAACCCAGGTTGATGCTGAGATACTCTCCGAATGCTCCCTGTCCTGTCACTACCTGGGCCACAGACCCCAGGCCAAACACCTGGACACAGAGAGAAGCAATCATGCACAGGTCACAGACAATGATTAAAGAGAAGCTCCTAGACAGTCTTATTAAGTGAAATCATTCCAGCAATCAGGATATGTAAACTAGCAACCACAATAAAAAGATGGTCATTCAGTTAACAGATTTGTGCCAATGAAGTCAGTCTATCAGCCAGAGTGTAAGTGAAGTATGACTGTTCAAAGTAAGCTGACGCTGAAAAACCACAGCCATTCATTCAGGAAACAGGAAGCATGGTTCTTCCTACAAAAGTCATTTTAGGTTAAGAGCAAGTTTGGTTTCCCAAGAACAAG